CAATCCAGGAAGATCTTCGGGAAATACTTTCGGATAATCACACACGACAGCAGTGCTCTACATCTCCTTTTTCTCTTACTTAGCATCGATCACAAATGCCAAATATGATGTGCATCCTTTGGCTAAACACTTTCTGGCTTTCATTAGAGAAATAATCCCAGAACTTACTCTACGCTTGTCCCCATACACCATAAATGTCTCTTTCCCTGTTGGGTTTACTTTGACTATCTTCTTTTTACACAATATCTCGGCGTCATTGGCGCTAAGCCAATCCATTCCCAACACGATGTCGAAACCATTAAGTTCTATAGACAATAATTCCTCGTGGAACTTATTTCCATTCAAGTCAATTAAAATGTTTTTCATACGATGGCTAACAGGTACAAACTTGCCACTAACAACTTCGACTAATAAAGGATTATCTAGTCTATCGACAGGAAAAGCTAGTTTTCTATCAAATTCATGCAAAATAAAGGAGTAGTTGGCTCCAGAATCAAATAAAATTTGGGCAGACAATTTGTTTACGAGAAAGGTACCTAAAGCGACATTAGCTTCTTCTTTGGCAGCTTCTAGTGTCATCTGGAATGCTCTCGCCTTCGACTTTGGTGGAATGTTGGGTTTTTCTGCCTCATTCTTCTTCGGACAATCCCTCGAGATGTGCCCCTCCTCACCACAACCATAGCAAACTTACTTGGTGATGGTGCATTCGTTGGCATAATGCCTTGGTTTTCCACATTTGAAGCATGTGGCTTCCCCACCACATTTCCCATGATGCTTCTTCTTGCATTTGTCACACCATTTCGCTTCACCTCCTCCACCTCCTCTCGAACTAGACTTCGAGAATTTACCCTTTTTTCTGGACCTCGAAGGTCCATCGATTTTCCTCTTTTCACCAACCTCTGACCTCTCCAAACCTTTCTCCCTGATATGGGTCTCAATATTTCTAGCAGCCCAGATGGCGGCTTTCAATGTGGTTGCTTGCTTAACCATTGGACCATAGTCCGCTGGTAGTCTGAGGGCAAACTTGTTGACGTTAGAGAGTTCTTTTGGGACCAAATATGGGATAAACTTCATCTTTTCTGTGAAACTAGCAGCGTATTCAATAACGCTCAATTTCCCCTTCTTCAAATTCTGAAACTCATTATTGATTTCTAGAAGGTCCTGCTCGGAGCAGTAATGCAGTTTTAGTTGTTCCACAAAGTCTTCCCAAGACATTTTTCTCGCTTCTCCCTTGGGCATAGAGTCAGCTAACAGCTTCCAACAACACAACACGCCAGATTTTAGCAGAGGGATCGCAAGAGTGGTCTTCTGCCTGTCGCTGCATTCGCAACTTTCAAACATTGTCTCCATCTCGGAGATCCATTCCATAACTTGCACCAGCGTCGGGCTTCCGGATAGACATGGTGGTTTGGATGCCATGAAATCCTTGTACTTACACCCATGCCCATTACTTCCTCCATACTGGTTGTTCTACCTAACTATTGGTGGGTTGGAAGGATGATAACCCCACTGAAATTCCCTTCCTCCGACTGTCCTCCATTTACTTCGGGCTCTTCCACGTGAATTGACAGTTCTTCATGATTATATTGAAGCAGAAGCCTTATTTCTTCCATTTGGCGATCCAACATAGTTTAAATCATCAATTGTACCCCAGTCATTATTATTGGCTCAGGTGCTGCTACTACTATAGGTACTCACTCATTCGCTGGTGGTTGATTCCTGTTTTCATCTGCGTTTCCAACTCCGCTTCTTGTTCTCACCATTTTTTATCTATACACCGAATAAGGTGAACTTAGATCCTCTTTCACGATAAGATTTCAATTTATCCTTATTACTCCAAACGATCACATGCTAGTTCTAATATCATATACATACGCTTATAATCCTAAACACATAAACCTTCAGATCCGGTTGGCAACAAACCGTATATCCGAACAAATAATATCATATATGGCAACATATAATATTTAGCACATAAAAGCATTTTAGGCAACTTCCTAAAATATACTAGTGCTCGTGTCCATAATATCACAAACACTCGTCTCATAATCTTCACTTAGCATTCTAAGTTTAAGTCTAGAAATCCTACAAATTCCTAGTTTGCTTAAACTAATGCTCTCATACCAACTGTGACATCCCCAAAATCTCGGCCAGAAAAGACTGGTTTCATTTATGTTTTTTAAACATTTTTTGAGTAAATCCTTTTGATTTTAAAAGAGATGCGGAATTTGTTCCCAAAAACAAAACATTATAAAATAGATTTTTATCAAAATATTTCATAAAGAAATATAATTTCATTTCATAATCAAAATGGGGATGTCATGTTCCGATACAGACCATAAAGCATAAACGATAACATTACAAGTCATTCAACAAATATATACATATACAGACTTGTAAACAAAACAACTTGGTGATTCATCTATCTTATGCCATCGCGCCACTTCTTGTAATACAATGAAATTGAGTGGGTTAGGCTTGGGAGTTTGGTGAGCATATAGGGTTTTCAACGCACAATAAATATTATATTTAATTTCAACAATCAACAATAACCAGATTACCCATTCCCGTTATCCTCACTTTACGTCCCAAAAACCACATCTATTATAAGGAACCTAATTAAGGATTTTCATCGGTACGGACATTGCTACAAGGGGTTTCCTCAGCAATAAATGTCCTAAAGGAAACCATGGGGGATAGAGTACACCGGTGAACACATCGTTCACAACGCCTACAGGTTATGAGCCTGCTAGCGTTCCACAGGACTGTCTAGAAAGAGTCTGTGGTCATTATCCATACTCTGCTGAATAACTAGATCAACAACAACGACATCAAGGCCTCTCATCTGTTTATCACACATCAACTATCTACCTATGTTCTACCCAACATATCAGTAGGTATATATATATATATATATATATACACACACACACACACACATAGTTTAAAAACCTGTATAGCATTCTCATTCAATACATATTCCAAACAACAGATGAGATACATACACATAACACGTATTTCATAGGAAACAAGTCATATCTATGAGATAGATGAAGGTGAATATACGTTCACACATATAACAACAAAATATGCACATAACACGTATTTTATATAAAATACTTTATAGTTATGCATTAGAAGAGAGTAACTACACACTCACTTGATCAGAAGATGATCGGACATCACTACAACTTGTAGAAGTAATATTCTTCGGTAGATCTGGAAGATCTTCACAAAAACCGGGCTCCTTGTGGGTAGGGCTTCGGCTCGGGAATCTTACTTCTGGGGATCTTCGGGACTTCGAAACTTGCTTCGGGACTCGGGAATGATACTGGGGCTTCAGGATATAATTAGCATGCAAACGACCAAGGCAAAAAACTAGAGAGAAAGAAAGAAAAATGGCAAGGCAAATGGTTGATCTCGGTTTCTATTTATAGGCTGCTGGGTCTGGGATTACATTGGGCGTAACTTCCAAGTACGTTGGGCGTACCAAGCCTTACGCTGGGCGTACGCTTCGGATAAGCTTTGGTATGTGTGCCACGATCTTCAAAAATTCATAACTTTTGCATACGACCTCCGTTTTCGACGTTCTTTATATCCACACGTAGGTGAGATTATGCTCTACAACTTTCATTTAGACTTCGTTGGCTAATTTTGACTTTATTTTCTATTATTTATTTTTAGTATGCCGGGACAGAAAAACTTCGTTAGAAATTCATAACTTCTCTGTCCAACGTCCGTTTTCTTCCCTCTTTCTGTCGTTGCACTACCATCGACGAGATCTTCAATTCTCGTTTAGAAAGTTTCGGCTAAAACTCGCTCGATCTCAATTCGAACTTTTGAGCTGTCTACTGCTAAGCTGAAACTTCGAAAAATCATAACTTCCTCATACGAAGTCAGATTTAGGCGTTCGTGTTATGCATGCTCTCGGTTCAACATTATCTATGTCTATTGTGTTGATCACTAAGGCTAAATATTACTCCTTCGTAAATTCACTATTTACGTCACGTTGTACCACACCGGTTTTGTCGTGGAACTTCGACAGATCATAACTTCTTCGTTATAACTCGGATTTCAACATTCTTTATATTTTCTGAAACCTCGTCTCAACCACTACATGTTCGTGCATAAGTATCGAGTTTATATAACATTTCATTTTTACGCTTATTTTTATTATTGATTAAATCAAATCACATAATTAAACAGATAAGTATAAAACACATAATTCGCAAATAATACATTCTTATTATTTCAAATTGGGTTACAAAGGTTAATCTGGACTGTTACATTGCTAAAAATGTCAAGCCCAGAAACACGGGCGTTACACTAATTGTTTTTCCACATTTAAATAGTTTTCAACAAGAAAATAGTAATGTTGCACTTTTATTTTTAGTTTTGAATAAGAGGAGTCAATGATTATTATTTTTGTTCACTAAACCTCCGATAGATATGATCACTAAACTTTCAATATAGTAACTATTATTTTTATCACTAAGCTTCTAACATAACCAACATTATTTTTAATCATTAAATAAAATAGTTATTATGATACGAAACAAAAGTAATTTAACTTTTTTTTAGTTATTATGATACGAAACAAAAGTTTTTTCTGTGTAGGTGGCCGAGTTAATGACCACCCTATAAAATTGGTCATTATATTTTTAGGATTGCCAAAATTTAGTTATTACTTAATTTCTGGTACTACAAGATGCTTTCATGACCAAAATTTAGGTCGTAGACTGTTTTTGTTCCTGTAGTGAAGTTACTTTGATTATAAATTATAATTGAACAAAATATTAATATTAAATTGATGGGTAGCCGAAATATCAAATATCACTACTTGTTGTACTACTGGCGGCTAGAAACAGAGCAAAAGTAGAGTCTATATTATTTATATATAGAATATGGAAAGAGATGATTCAGTCCATTTATGTCCACATGAATACATAATCATTCTTTCTTCTAGTTTGAGCACATCACCATCTTAACACTTCTAAGCCATGGCTGATTACCATGTCTACTTCACCATCTTTCTCATGTCCTTGATCACGACCATCTTGGTCCGCTGGTCGTTATCCAAATCAAGTGATGCTAAATATCATCTTCCACCAAGCCCGTTTTCCCTTCCAATCATTGGACATCTCCACCTACTTGCTCCGAATCCTCATCAAGCTTTTCACAAACTTTCTCTCCGACATGGGCCAGTTTTTCGTATCTTTCTGGGCTCTGTACCTTGTGTTGTTGCATGCTCCCCAGAAATGGCAAAAGAATTCCTTAAGACCTATGGAAATGCTTATTTGGATCGACCCCAAAACTCAGCCGTGGTTTACCTAACTTATGGATCAAAAGACTTCTCTTTTGCTCCCTATGGATCGTATTGGAAGTTCATGAAGAAGATAATCACCTCACAGCTCCTAAATGGGACAACACTTGATATGCTCCTTCCAATTAGGCGTGATGAGATTAATCGTTTAATGAAATCAATATCTCACAAAGCCAAAATTGGGAAAGCAGTGGATCTTGAAGGGGAGGTGGTGAAGATCACAAACAATGTGATATCAAGAATGCTTATGAAAGAAAGATGTTCAGACAAAGATGACGAGGCAGGAGAAATGAGGATATTGGTTGCTGAGATGGCTGAGATCATGGGTAGGTTTAACCTTTCAAACTACATATGGTTCATTAAGAATCTAGACTTCCAGGGATTCGATAAAAGGTTGAATGATATCGGTAGAAGATTTGATACTTTGATTGAGAGGATCATTAAAGATCATGAAGAGACACGAAAACAGAAGGGGAATGGAGAAGTGAAGGACCTGCTCGACATTTTACTCGATATCTCCGAAGATGAGAGCATGGAGATAAAGTTGACTAGAGAGAACATCAAAGCCTTCATTATGGTAACATTAAAACATATTATGTCTCCATGTATTTTTCTATTTTATATGTTAAGATAAGTACTAAAATATCCATGATCTATCATTTCAGGATATATTTACAGCGGGAACAGACACTAGTGCGATTACCATCCAATGGGCTTTAGCAGAACTCATCAACCATCCGAACATCATGAAGAAAGCAGTAGAAGAAATCGAAAAAGTTGTGGGAAAAGACAGACTTTTACAAGAATCAGACATACCAAACCTTCCTTATCTTCAAGCAATCGTGAAGGAAACCCTACGACTCCACCCAGCAGCCCCAATGATACCAAGACAATCAACAGAGGAGTGCACTGTGGCAGGTTACTTTATTCCAGCAAACACAACTATTTTTGTCAACGTGTGGGCCCTCGGAAGAGACCCAAATCATTGGGAAAACCCACTTGAATTCAAGCCTGAAAGAATCCAAGAGAGACAGTTGGATGTTAGAGGACAACACTTTCAGATGTTACCATTTGGAAGCGGAAGGAGGATGTGTCCTGGGATTTCAATTGCGTTGTCCTTGATACAAGCAACACTTGGAGCCATGATTCAGTGTTTCGAGTGGAAGGCTGGGAAAGATGGAAACCTAATTACTGTTGATATGGAAGAGGGACACGGGCTCTCACTTGCTAGAGCTAACCCTTTGGTTTGTGTACCAATCATTCGACTTGATTCCCTCCCGTTGCCAACCTAACATGCCATGGATCATGTTAATCATACTATTTTCAATTTTCATCCAATAATTCCTATGCTTTCGATTCCTCGTTGCTTGTCATTTTCAGATCTTGCCACCCCAGCGAACTTTCAGTTTGGCATAAACAAAAACGGGAAAGACGTCATCTTTTTTAATCTAATTCATTTTCATGTCTACAAAAAAGGCTAATAAAAGATATAAACTAAAAAAATCATATGTTCACTCTTTATCGTTTTCGAACTATTTTTTTTTCTCAGAACTTGTCTTTATTAGTGATCGACTATTTCTTACTCACATGCAAATGTCGTTGAAGTTCACAAAAAAACTATGTACATATATAGGAGGTCACCACACTTTCTTTTTACAAATTCCATATACACAATATATATATATATATATATATATATATATATATATATATATATATATATATATATATTAGTTTATAACCCGTGGTTCTATAAAATTAATTAATTTTTTATAGTAAAAACATAAAATTATTAATTATTTATTTAAATAAATTAATAATTAATAGATTTTTAGAGTTATATACATTTTAATCATTGATTTAAAAAATATGTGAAATTATTTCATTTTATAAATTGTATTAATTGTATTTTAATTTTTATTTTAATATTATTAATCTAATGTAATTAAAATGGAAATTTTAATTTAAAGTTTGAAATGGAGTTGACAAGTGCATGAATTAATTATGAAACATAATAGGATAACACATGATAAAAGAAAATAAATCCTTCTTAATAAATAAAGGTTTTTTTTACCACATGTCAATCTCTCATGAGTTTTGATATTTATCATTTTGTGGTATTTTTGAAATAAATATTATCCACTTGTAAATTTTTTGTTTGTTTCAATTTTTAAAATTGAACTTATATACTTATATATGTAAAATATTGAATATCATATATGTAATATTAAATTTTAATAAATATGTTTCTTTCTTATTTTAAAGTTGTATATTAAAAAATATTTTTTATTTATATTTTAATGTTTAATCTTTTTTAAATCAATCCGTGTAATATACGGGTTTCACACCTAGTATGTGTTAATTAGGAGATCTAATAAGATGACATATATTAAAAGGAGAATAAAGTTATTATTTTATTAGAATAGGGATTGAAAGGATATATATATATATATATATATATATATATATATATATATATATATATATATATATATATATATATATATATATATATATATATATATATATATATATATATATATAATATGAGTTTATGTGTCTTATGTTAAGCGTTGGTTGAAAAATAAACAATTTCTTACCACTGGCTCAATTCTAAGAATAACGATCTACTTCTATGTTCACATAAATTTGACAAAAAAAAAAAAATATGAAACTAATCGTTGACAAAGGGGTAATAATTTATAAACATTACAACATGATGCTGATTTGATGGGAGGGATTTTTTAATTTTTATGAGAGGGACGTCTAATTTCTCGGAAATTATTTTAATCGGGCAATTCTAAATTCGTATAATAGGATAATATATTAATGCTTTTATGAACACCAAAATATATTACGGACAATCTAAAAGAAAATCTAACTTACAATTTTTTTTTTATGTATTAATACACGAGAAAATGATTATAATAGCTAATTTTCTTAAACTTCTTTTTCAAAAATAGTAAAAACAAAAATACCCAAAAATACCTTCTGATTTTTTTCTTTTTCCAAAACCAAGTCGATTTCGAACTTTTGGATTGCAAATTTAGAGGCCGGAAAGTCATATTTTTATACCCGTAAAGCATGCTAATAAGTGAAAAATATTAAATATGACCCAACTCTGAACCTTCGTAACTTTTGCATATGAACTATGTTTGAAAATATAATATTTTTTCATTGTGGTTTGTAATAAAGACTATCCATCGACAAATTGGATACAAATTTGATAGTAAGAAAGTTGTACTTATGGTTACAATAGGAGTATCAAAAGTACTTTTAATAAGAAAGTAAAGACTAAACTTATTCATTGAAATTATTAAATACCGGATTAACCATACTAGTTTGATATGTGATTCGATACATTGCATAAATATAATTATAATTAATAAGTTGATGAATTCCTAGCACACTAAACTATCTTACTGATGCTATTAAATACCCACAAGGTACATCACTTTTTTTTTTTTTTTACCATTTTCCATATCTACAAATATTCGATTGATACGTACAATTACAATCTGTGATATATTTGTAATGTAATGCCCCGCGCTTGAATCTAGTTGAAACCATACTTAAACAAAATCAGTTCGGGAAATGTCCCAAAAATTCAGAGTTTAGGTTTGCAGAAAAATACTTTGGTCCTAAAATAGTAAACTTAATTCAAGTTTGAAAAACCAACAATGTTGTTAACAATAAGTATATTAAAACAATATTTAAGAACGCTATGCATTTCATGGCCTTCTTAAAGTCCAAGATAATCCCCAAACCGAGCTATAGTCTTCAGTTTGAGCACACATCAAAATAAGTTAGGCAATAGATTTACCTAGTGATTTACTCGAGGTTGATTCGTTTAGAGTATTGGAGACAAACCAAACTTATTCAAATCAAATCTTTGAAAAACAAAAAGACAATCTAAACATATAGGTTTGATTAGCCAAATCAAATCAAAGTGTCTTATATACCCAAAATGATTACTACAACAATATCAACTCGAAACACATAGAAATAGTTTGCTTTCAATTACCCACAATCAAATCGAAGGTTCTTATAGGACCAAGAGATCAACAAGAAGCGACATTATTTCTAAAATACTTAAAGAAAACTGAAAGGAATAGAAATCTATGAGAATTGAGAAGAAATAATTGTTTTGAAAAAAAAAAGTTGTTGTAAAAGGAAAAGGAGATCTTATATCTAGATTAAAGAAAGAGAAGTCAGGAAAAATAATGTTTCATCAATAGGTGTTCAACCATAAGAGGTACATTATCAACAATGTAATTATTCAACACCTTCATTTTCAAACCCTTAGTAAGACCTTCATCAAGGTACAAAAATATCAACCTGTTATAACCCAAGTTGTTACCATTACTAAGACTAATAAAAATGTTGTTACCTAAGTTGGTATAACAGAAGTTGATGAAACCTAACCTTTTAACCTAGCTGAGAAAGTCCATGAGGTTATTAAGGTCGTCACTTAACAAACCATTTAAACAAAAAGTTCCCTAAAAAGATGACATGTACAAAACAACACTTCTAAAACTACAACAAACCCCATTGTTATTATTAAAGTAACCATACAAATTCAGTCTCACACTTCCATACTTCCACTTGTAACACCTGATTTTTTAATACATAGTATACCCAAATAATTTCATTTTACATGGATCATAAAATTTTTGGTGTACATTCATATAAAAAATTAATACAAGTAATTATCAAGAGGATCCTACAATAACCTTATGTAAGAATCCAAGTCAGGCGCCACTAAATCCAGTTTATGCTACTAAGTTTACCTGAACCTAAAAGATACACAAAACAAAAATGGTAAGTTACAATGAGCTTAGTGAGTAACCATATTAACAAGATATAAGTTAATTACACAATTAAATATATCATATATACTAGTACAAAATTGGTCTTTATCCACATAAAAAAACCCCATCATTAAAGACATTTTATGTCGGGTCTTTTTTTTTAAAAAAAAAAACATGAGAGAAAAGTGTGCGTCAATGAAGATAAGTTATGTTTTCGTTCAATAGTAGTAAGTATAACTCATGAGTCATGAAAACCCGTTATTATAGGTCAAACCCATCATTATATGTTACAGCGTTTTTTGAGATATATCTATCTTATATTGATAACTGTTATGAATAATAAACTGCACAAATGGTCCTTGTGCTTTGTCAAAAACTGCCACTTTGGGCAAAAATAATGTTTGGAGTAGCACTAGTGGTCCAAAACTTTGTTGCATCTTTGGTCAAATCTGTTATGGTTTTATTCAAAATGACGGATTTACCCTTGTTAATATGATTTTATCTTTTTTCCTATTTGTTTTTATGACTTTTAGATTTAAAAAAAAACAAGAAAATAAAAATAAAAATAAATCTCTCTCTCCCTCTCCCTTTCTCTCCTGATTTTCAGATTAAGAACAAGAAAATAAAAATAAAAATAAATCTCTCTCTCTCTCTCTCTCTTTTTCAAGTCGTCGTCGGATATCTCACCTTTATTGCCCTCTGTAAGGGTCTCCATCATCACCCAGTTCAGAGCTCCAGATCTGTGTTTATTGGTTCATTTTTTTGGGAATATCAACTATGAGGAAAGAAAGAGCCATGGACGAAGACGATGGTGATCTAGATCTTAAACGAAGGTTTGCAAGCTCAAAACAAGAAGGACGATTGGAGAAAGAGGATTATGGATTCGATGGTCATTTGACGACAGATTAAGTGCTAAATCGACTCCGCCCCTTTCCACTCACCTGCAAATCGACCTCGAACAACAAAAGTTATGTGTGACTTAATCAATGGCGTACATAAACCCTCATGTGTGTGGTTTTGTGCGATCGAATATCAAAGGTCAAATATCGATCTCTCTCAGATGCAATAAAGTCAAATCTTGAGAATTCCTGTTGAATTTTTTTTCTACATGCACACATGAATGAACCCATCGACTTTGAAGGTTCTTGATGCACACATGTACACATACAATGAATTCGTGCTTCATTTCTGGGCACACAAATTTTCAATTCCGTTTCTAGGCAGACACTAACACCAACCATCACCATACCTGTTGTGAATCAGATTTCAAGATCAGACCTGGCCTTCTGGGTGAATGATTCAAGCGATTCAAAGAGAAGAGGATGTAAAGAATGTGATCAATATCTTCTTAAATACGTTCTAATGCTAATTTAAATTGTATATGTATTCTATAGGTTTTGACAAGTGTACTTTTATAACCAATAGTGTTTTTTATAAAATTTCGATTGTTTGACCAACTTTTATGAAAAGTATACTTTTCT